TTATACTCAAAACTCAATCAAAGTTCAAGTATTATAAAAAAAAAGTATAATATAGATTTACAGTTGGGTTGGGCCGACGTGGCCGCCTAAATTCATACTTTTATATAGGGAACACCTCCAAGCCTGGGTTACATTATTTTAATCAGACGCTAATTGTTTGCGGCTACTTCGATTGCATTTTTTCCTCAACACTCGGGTCGACTCAAGTAAAATGGAAAATATTTTCTGCTACAACAAAAATGATCATATCGAAAAATTACCTTCCATTTTCTTAACATCCCCGCATAGTTGAATATAGATTGTAAGTAGCCCAACTAATATTCATTTCTTATACTGAAATCCAAATATGTAGAGTTTAGTTTGGATTGGTCAGCACACTTTTCATCTCGGAATTTATAGCGTTGTGTTGTTAATAAAAAAAAAAAAAATATTAAGATATTATCTCTGAACTGCCCCAACTACTGTTTCCAACATAAGCATATATTTATTTAATTCTTCTTCTTAAAATTTGATGAAAATGGCAACTCAGCAACCAACCTCACATATTGCTGCGTCTGTCGCGCATGCTTACAAGTCATATGTGCTGCATTCCACAGCGTCGTAGCAGTCGGGCACCTTCATACAGGCGTTTTTGCAGGTGTGTCCTCCACAAATAATAAAAATAAAATTAAAATTAAAAACTGTGATGCTAAATGAATGAATGTAGGAGTTATTTATGCATAATTGTTTGCATATTGCGATGTTTTGTTTTTGATAACGGTAATACGCACATGCTATGTCATAAGCTTGTTCAGCAATTGTGTCAAAAGAGGAGTTAATAAGATTTTTTATGAAAATAAAAAGGTGTATAAAAACATATTTATGTTTATTTGAGGGCACGTTGGTTTTTTGGGATGTTTTAAAGTTATATAACCGAGGTATAGAAGAAGAAATACGAAACGAAAATAGTATTTGGTTTTAAATTTTTGGAGACACATACATGTGTACATTTACATACATACATATACAAATTTTTTAACTAAGAAATTAATTCCCTATTAGTACTTAAGGCAACTGGTTGTGTTACACACGAACTTAGCCCTTCTCAATGCTCAATTCTGATCGAGTCCCCTATGGTGAAACATGCTAATAATTTTCTGTGGTGAAATGCATTCATCGTTTTCAGTACCCCTGCGAAAAGTGAATTATTGTTACGTTCTCTGCATTGTGTACCTACTGTATAATTTACGTTCTCTGCCAAAGATACCGCGCACTGCATTACCATTAAGCGGTGGTTGTTGTCTTGGCTGACGTCCGCTAAAGCAGTTCGTATGACAAAGCCATACACAATACTGTTTATGCGCATCGACAACCCAGTTACATGTCAAACTTCCGCCGCCTAAACGGTGAACTGACGCCAATTTCCTTCCTCCTGTGTGTAAATCAAGTCGAATAACAAAGGTGCAAGTTGTGAATATAAAATTCTTAGTAAAAATCAATGCTAATGCTGTATTTTATTAAGAAATCAATAGTGGTTAAAGTATTATAGTAAAGTAAAGCAAAACATTGTTATGGTCCAACTATATATGGTAAATTCGTGTGCGAAATTTATATGAAGAAAAACATCAGCGGACTTGTGTTTGTTGTGTTTATTAAAAAATGCTGGTAATCGAAGTTAGATTGGAAATTTATGTGTTTGCAATTAAGAGGGCCAATATTTTAAAATTTTGAGTGGTAAGTGTTCCTTAAGTGCTTCGGTATTTTGATTAAACTCATTTTATTTGCCTTATCACCGGCTGTTACTTGTAAGCAGAGTTAAGTATCTATAGAAAAAGAGTATCTAATTATAGGCAGTATTGAATTTAGTAAGACCTCTGCTGATTAAAGTAGTTTTGGCAGAACAAGCTTTAATGTAGCCTTATTAAAAATATTATATATCTTTCTTTTCAACAACTCTTCATATTTTTCATTTACTTTTATAGAGGATGGAGAATTCATGATGGCGCTTCTGAAACAATGCGATGAAAGCTCAAAACAAAAACCAAATTTTTTGTATTTTCAGTTAATAATTTATTATGAGCTTTTAATCTTAAAATTCTAAAATACTAATTAAATCGTATCGCTTCTTATACAAATAGAATAATAATAATAATAAAAATATATAATAAGATAGTTCGTAATAGCAATCATATCGTAATTTTACTCACATTACTTGTCTGTACGTGTGTTTTTAGTATATAGTGTTTATGTATTCACTTCACTTTTAAAAAATATATATAAACATCATTTATATAACCAAGGAAAACGGGATGCACCAACAAATTTGATCCATCAAATAACAAAGTCGTCACCAATTCACATAGTTTAACATAATTCTAACATATCATATACAAAACTTTACTATTGAAATATGTTTATAGGTTATGTATGTATGTAAATATGTTTTGAGTGAGTGTAGTGTAAAAGTTGTTGATTAGTTGAGCTTCAAATGCATTAAAATGAAGCGAGTTCAAAGCCGTTTACAGCTGCATAACTGTACTTATATACAAATATGCTTATGTACAGCTGTATGTGTGTGTACTGGTAGTTGAATTATGTTTGTATGTGAGCATAGTTATTTTATGTAAATATTTATAGCTTAATAATTAAAATATAATACAAAAAGTATAGTGTGTGTGTGTGTGTGTTTTCGAAGTTAGTTTCTTTAGTTAGTAAGATAGTTTTACATAGAAAACGTATGCAAAAATATAAATACAACAATATTTAATTTAACTATAATAGCAGACGATGATATACTTATAAAAATGTTGCTTTTAAATTAATTGCAATTTATAATTGATAATTTTATTAATTAAAGTTAATTGTAGTTAATAATTAATAATTTTATTAAATAAAATTAATTGCAATTAATAATTTTATTTTAAATTCATTTTATTTTTTTTTTCATATTTTGTATTTTTATTTTGTTTTATATTTAAATTTTAAGATATCTTTAATTAATAAAAATTATTTTTTTATTTAATCATAATTATTATTTTTTAATTAATAATAATTAGTTACTTTTTTCTAATTTAATTATATTTTTATAATTGTTTGCAGACCTTCGCACGCTCTTCTCACGCCGTCCACTTATAAACAATACACATTAAATGCTGATACGCTCACTGCTTTGGTATGTTTTCCTTTAATTTCGTTTTTATATTTTTCTTAAATTTTTTATGTAATTTTTTTCTTTGTTCTTCGATTGCATTATAAATTCCTTTTAATAGCAATACTATTATGCTTTCGCTAAAATGATTCGCGTTTGTTATAATTCTTGCTTATACAGATAACTATTTGATTTGAAAAAATTCGTATTAGGATGTGGCGATTATCGATTAAGACTAAATAAAATTTTTTAAAAACTTCACTCCAGGATTGAAAATTTTGTAATAAAAACTACATTTTCAATTTTTAAGACGTTGGAATTATATACTAAAATTCAATAGTAAAATTTTAATCCGATATTTGGAAAAAAAAAACTTTTTTTATTTATTTTTCAATCCGGTAGTTGGTATTAAATATTCAAATGTTATTTGTATTGAGATTTTCGGGATTACGAAATAAACCAATTTAACCAGCAAATCTTGCTTAAATCAAATTAAAAAAAATTTCCATTGAAATAACTTAAATTCCCAATTTCTAAATACATTGAATTCAAGTCATTTTAATTTAACTCAGAGAAACTAATTTCAAATAAATTGAATTAAATTCCCTTACTTCATTTATTATTTTTAATCGTTAATCAATAAAATGAATTCAATTCTCTTTAGAAATTCACTCTTTGAAATTAAAAGAAGTAATCTTTAAAGATTTAGTTGATTTAAAAATTAGTTAAGATGCGAATAATTGAATTTAATTAAGTTAAATGAAGTTAAATTCGAATTAAGTCAATAGATTAAATTGCGAATAATTGTATTCAATTCAACTCAGAATAATTGAGTTAAAGAATAAAGTCGATTGATGCAGTTTAAAAAATCAAATTATTTAATTTATAAAAAATATTTTAATTTTCCGAAAAATTTTTAGTCGCTTTTTTACGTTTTTCATTTCGAAGTAAAATAACTTTTTTGTACTATTTTTCATTAATTTGAAAATAATTAATTAATTAATACTTATAATATTATTTAAAATTGTACAGAATAAATGATTGAATTCGCAATATTTGTTCTTAATTATATTAATCAAACTTGTTTATAATTAATATATCCATATTAACTTATTTTTTAATATTTTCATTAAAACTCAACAATTTTATTCAAATAATTGCAATCAGAATCGAGTTTAATTAAAAAAAACTGTTTAATATACTTTACGTATATCAATTAATATCTTTTCTAACTCAAATTTTATTAAATTTTATTTTAATTAAAATTTATTTAATTTTTATATTTTCGGTTTTGTTAAAAAAATAATCAAAAAAATATGAAATAAATAAATTATCAAATATACATATATAAATTACGAAATATATATGTCTACTAAGATGAGCCAAAAAAAAAAGTAATATCAAAATTTTTGGTTGAAATTAACTTTTCAAACCATTTTCAAAGCTTTCAGCTTTCACTTTCAATTGCGTCAATTTTTTAAATTTGAAAAAAATTGTGAGGTATAATTTTTGGTGTAAAATTTTGTTTAATGAAACAAATTTTTTAATGTGGTACTTTATGGAAAACTTTGAATGCACTTTTAAAATTTTCAAAATCATGTAAAAAATCTTTCTTTATTGGTAAATTTTAACCCATAAGTTTGATATTCGATTTGTTTTGACTCACCCTTATGTATTTACATATTTATATATGTATGTACATCAAAATTATCCAATTAAATTTTTTCAATTAATTATCGGCCATTTTAACCATAATCGATGTATCGCACATCCCTGTAGTTCTGTTATGAAAGAAAGGGTGTGTTGCTATCCAATTTGAACTCTTAATATGCAAATATTTTTAAATGCATTGATATTTTCGAACTTTTTTTTGTAAATTTATTATTTGTAATATTTTTAATGACTTATTTTTCGTTTAAATATGATCGCCTCTAATATGCAATTGATTAGTAAGTAGCTATTTAACGCTTGTGAATACCGCTAACGTTTGGATTCTCGAAAAAACAGTTATTCGTTTTGCAGACTACATATATATTTCACTTTTGTAATGATAAATGTGGAATGCATTTTTTATGTATTTGTATGTACGTATGGGAATACATATTTTTCTGAATTTTGGTTTTCGAAATAATGCCTTAATCAGCTTATCGTTGTTTTTCTATATATATGTGTGTATATTTTATTGCACTGGTATGTGTGTGGCAGAATTCAAAAATGAAAATCGAAATCAAAATGAGCTCAGAAAACACTTTGGAGTGTCTAGTATTTATGCAAGGGAACCTAACCTAACTTTGTTTGGTTTAATTTAAACTCAAACTAAGCTAAATATGTCTACTATATAGATATTGTTATATATATATTTGTGTGTGTCTGTGCTTGAAAATACTATAAATTCCTTTTTCTAAATAATGAATACTCAGCGTTGTACAGTTGTGCGCGAAATGTTGGTAGTTTGTGGATTTGCTGGGGTTTGAGCTCATTCCTACAAGAAATTCTATATTCAAACTGCTCTCTATTGGTTACTCTCTAGTACGTCAGCTATCTCTCTCTTTTTATGTACTTAAACATCGATAACACTGTCGTTTTTCTTCATCTCCATCAAATGTGTCTGCTTGAGTTTCTCCTGCATTTGTGTGAGCATATCCTGCATGCGTCGTATCTCTTCGTCCTTCTGCAAAAGCAGGCGATCGGTTTCCGAAATGGCCGCATCAAAACCATTGGTCGAGCTGATCGAGTCGCGCTTCAATTTGCCGCGCTCCCGGAGCGCGTGTTGCGATATCTGTGAAATGCATTGTGCACGGAAGTTCTCGTAGTGCACATCCTGTGTGGTGTCCTTCAGATCTTGCATGTGTGTCGAGATGAGGAAAGTGCGTAATTTATTGAAATCACTATGTTCGGGATCTTCCACATCCACTACACCCCAGGGATATTGACGACCGCGCACTTTTTTGCCCGCCACCTCAAGTATCGTGTTGCTACCGACAACGGCGAATGGTATCGAAGCTTTTAGATCGCGATCTTGCTGTTTGAAATCATCATCTTCATCGGAATCACATTCGGGAAACTGATATAACTGTATTTTGTTATCCTCCAGATCTTGTAGTATGCGCTCCTTGAGTTTGCGTATCTCATTTTTGGTCAGACAATCCGCCTTGGCGATTACCAGCACAATATTGACCTTGCGGTGTAGACGCCTAATGAGATCCAGATCCATCTGGCGGAGACTGCAAGCGAAAAGTAAAGTTTTGATTCAAAATTACAAAAGCATAAAAGCTGAAGTACGCACCTATGACCCCACGGCGGCACAAAGTACAAACAACAATGCACCCGGTTATCCTGTATATTGCGACGATTCAGTCCGCTCTCGTCTGTGAAGTATTGACGGAACTGTGAAAGTGAAAGTAGAACAATAAAACTTTTAATTTATGATACAAATCTTCGATTTCCAACATCTTACTCACCTGCTCATCGATGTAGGCAGTGCAGACGCGCCAACTATCCTCACAATTGATGCCATCGCCGAAACCTGGTGTATCCACCACCGTTAAGCGCAAGCGTACACCACGCTCTTCTATATCCATTGTCTTCTTTTCAACACGCGTCGTCTTTTCGAGCCGTTCTTCAACATTGGGTATTACTCGATTCTTGTACAGATCACCGAGAAAGAGGCTATTAATCAGCGTTGACTTGCCTAGACCAGATTCGCCAACAACCATAAGCGTAAATTCGAAGCCGCGTTTCACTGACTTCCGATGCACTTGCTCGGGTAGTGTGGCAAAGCCGATGTAGTCCCGATCTTTATCGAATGACGGTGTTTTAGCTACAAATATAAATAATATATGATGTGTTATTAGTCACTTTTCTTTATAATGTAGTAGGTAAATGTTTACAAGATTCACTTTCATAGTGGATAGGGAGTATGGTATTTCTGGATGTTCTTAGCAAATGAAGATATTTTAAGCATCTTCAAAAAGCTTACACTGCAGAGAGTCGAAGCGTAACTAATTTCTACAATTCATAGTTTTCGTTATGTAAATCATGTAGGGTTAATAAAATCTTCCGGGAGACGAAAGGAACTATACATATGAGTAAGTGAAAACTCGGAACTCTCGAAAGGACTGCTCTAACGGTCTTTTGAACACTTGCGACTCTGCCCAAACTAGCTTTCGAAAATAAAAGAACAAGGATAAATGCTCTTGCGTTTTAAACTTCTCATTAGTTTTCGTCTTTTAGTTAGTTAGTCCCAACCTCTACACCGTTTTTTTTACATTTAGAATGTACCACGATCTGGTATAGTGCAGTGTACTGATCGGGACTGATATTTGAAAAAGTTTTTGGTTCAGCATAGGACAGACATAGACTAAGTTGCATTTTAAAAATATAAAAATACCATTTATTTCATTAATTATGGCATATTCGATAGCGATAAAGCCAATTCGATCGCGTACATATTCAGTCCAACCCGAGTACTGTAATTAAGATGAGTATGATACCGTATTTTTAACTGATTCCATAGAATGAGAGGTACAAAGAGCCTAACAATTATTTGTCAAATGTCAGAATTGAAGGAAGATTCTGTTCCAGGATTCAGTTAAACGAAAAAGAACATCTAAAGGTCAAATCTATCAATTCGTAGGGGTTTGAACGCCTTAACTTCAATTTATTTCTTTTGCACAAACTTCATTTTCATGGTTAGGAAAATTTTGGTTTGTATGTAGTGAATTCTTAGATTCGGTGGGCAATCGCTCTAAAAGGTATTCCGACCGGAAAAAGTACGATTTATGTGTGTAATCTAAAGTAAAAATAATCTGTATCTTATGCAAAAATGAATATATAATATGCAACTCGGATTTCGAACTCGCCATGAGGCAAGCCGCGTTAATATTACAAAGAAATCCTTTACTTGCCTAATAAAGGAAGGTTCTGAGAGAACTTAAGCTACGTTGTCGTTCAAGAACTGCTTTTGTCATAAATTCACAACATATTTTCTTTTCTTAACAAGAAACTTAACATCACTGAGATTTTACAAGCTTGTATATCAAATATTAGATCATTCATACGATACGATGGCATTGGTTAGCCGTTTAGTACTTTTCATATTCAAGCCTTCAGAAAAGATTGATATTCCAATTTTTTATTGCCCAGTATGGAGTACATACATCAACACATGATGAAGAAAGCAAGAGTTGTCCGCCCATAGTTCCGGCCGATTCAAACGAATAGCTTAACGCAAACGATGCATAACGATCAAATAATATTTTTTATTGACAGTTTGGTCGAAAGGAAGGCATTCATAGTGCACCACACCACGACAAACACCTCACCTTACTTTTTGACTATAGTAATATTAAGGAGATTCTCTGATCGGATACGTGGTAACCTACAATAAGTAAATGAAATCGAGAATTTAAGCACTGTTTTTCGCGATTAAACCTAATTCACCAAAAATTCGTCATGATCATTTAAATGGAGGATAAGTGACAATAGCAATATTTTAATTGTGGTTGTGACATGTGTGTCTCAACACTCCAGAGACTAATGAATAATAAAAATAGAGGACTTTTTCCGAGCGATACGGTACGGTAACAAACCATCGAAGACATTACCATCGATCTTAGAGTAGATATACGTTTTTGGAAGCAACGGTCCACACATGGCTTGCTTGATAAGAAGGAATAAGAAGAAGGTATTATATATATATTTTTAGTGAAACAAGCTGATTTTAGAAGCTTCAGGAACGATATACTATAGAAAGGTTACAAAGTTATTAGCTCAATCACTTCAAATTCAAAATATTTTGATCTGTGTTTTTATCTTCTGTTTTGCAAGTATAATTAAATATTTGGTCCAAGTTATAAGAGTAAGCTTATTAAGTACTCGTATGTAGGTACCAGGGAGAGAAAAACAAAAGCCTCTGCTATCGCTTTGATACTAACATCACGATTTTCACACACTGCTTTTTAAACTTTTTCGATGTTATTATCATTAAGGCAAGTTTTCGATGACTTCACGACCTTCACTAAAGTAGGCTCTCCAAAACACTTCGGTAACAATTTCAACAATTCCGTGGCAATGATTACATTGGAAAAAAAACTAGCCAGAAATGAGGTATATCACCATGTTTTATACACAACATTTTTCTTTGAATATGTTAAAGATCATTCAATACCATAAAAAATTGTATATAAAAATAAAGAAAGAAGAAAAATAAAATAAAGTAAAAATATAAAAAATAAGCTTCTTGGCCCGGCACTTACAACAACCACGCCCATTATTAATTCTGCCTGCCTAACTATCTCCGGCATAATTACAATGCAAAGCACCCTTTCAAAGTTTTTGTTTTGTTTTGCTTGTTTCCACAAACCCCTAATTAGTTGCATGCAACAATGCAACAGACAATGCACACAAATAGCGATGCGCTCGGCATTTTTGCACACACACACAGAATTCAACCTCGGCACTAATTTGACACAAACGCGTGCCACATAGCACAACATCAGCGACAAAATACTCCTCACGCATATGTAAATACCTACACATGTATATACAAGTATGTGTGCGGTACGCGGCTGTGCTTTGTAGGCACGAGAAGGAGGTTAAGTGCCAGAAGCGTGTTGTTTCTTTCAAAATAATTTCGGCTTGTAGCGTGCTTTTCGAGCAAATGTCAATGGTTTGGGCTGTCTGTGGGGGGTGCAGCGCCTTGAAGTCCATTACACAATTTGGCGACAGTGTGCTACGTAAACACACACATACACACACACAAGCATAAGCGCACACAAAAGATAAATGAAAACGAAAAACAACACTTACACATTGCTACGCTTAGAACTGCTGCACCACGTATGAGTTATTTGCATACAACAACAACAAGTATGCAAGCACTGTTTTATTTGCTGAATGTTTGATTTGATACCGTTAATAAGCTGCGACTTGTAGCCGCTCGCTGGTAAGGATACTTGCTGGCAGTAAATATTCTTCACTTTCGATTTTTTTTTTTTTTGGGTGGCACCCGCTGTGTGTATCCTGGCAAAGCGCAGACAAAGGTTCTACGCACGTAAATTTTTTTTCCAGGGTTTCTGCTTTTTCCACTTTGGTTAGTGTGTGTTTTCTTATACGTTAAGGCATTTCCGCTTTGTAAATTATTGTCCGCTATTATTTTGCACTTTCTTTCATTGATTGCGTAACAAAAATGTGTTTATGGTTTAATTTCCGTGCAATTCGCGTTATTAATAGAGCGTCAAATAATCGCCATGTCAATGTACGCCGCACACTTTTGCACCGTTGTATTTGTTGCATTCGTCGTTTGTATTCTACTAAGCTTCTGCTATTTACTTATAGCGCTTCTCAGCCGTGTGTACACTTCACTTTATTTCCTAAGTCATTCACTTGGCACTTATTATAGAAATTAGTCTCTTAAACACTCAAAACGCTGTAAATTTAATTATTTTAAATAATTGTTTTGATTTTTATGACTTTAAATAAAATTAAAATCTGAATTTTGCAATAGCTTTGCTATTTTGCAATTAGTTGAATTTCCATTTGTAATTTCACTTTGAATCTTCCTCTCTTATAGTCAATGTGTTATGGTCCGCTTTCTGGGTTGTTATCACAATTGTTGTGAGTTCTGCGCATGCGCTGCTTTTATTTATTTATTTCTTTACGAAACTCCTTGCTTGAACACGCTCAGGTTTTCAACCCCTTTGAACTTGTAAAAAAGTGCTTAAACTGACTTTTTTACTAAAAATTTCAAAATTATATCGTAATCAGAAATAAAAAATAATGTTGTTCACATTACTTTAGGAAATAAATTAATTCTAAACAAAAATGTTTAAAACTGCGGACATTTAAAAAAAAAATCAAGCCGAATTTGCTGTTAAACTCAAAACCTACCTTTCGCAGTAGTTTTCTTTAAATTTCTCACCGGTTTGTTAGTTATGTGAGTCACAAGTGAGTGACCCAGTAGGAATCACATAAACTAAACAACCCAGTTAAGTGTTTGCTGACAACTGAAAATTGTTGAATATAATTTATCAAACCGGAAAGAAATAAATAATAATTTCAACATAACAAAAATGTTGATCAAATTTTTCACGCATTTTAATACAAATCTTTATCAGTCATCTTCAACTCCAATCAATTCCTAGCCAACACAAGCATTCCAACGCTTAAACCAATTTCCCATACACTTTTTATAAGCCTCGGCTGGTTTTTGTTTTTGTTTCGGCTCATTTATAGAGAGCCCTTTGCTAGATTGTTGGACAGTTTCGACGTCATATTCATAAAGCCACGTTATCAATACTGATGCATTTGGTGAATATAAAGTTTTCAGATATAAGTATCTTATTTGCTGCATACCCAAACCGTTAACCAAATTATATTAAGTGGATCCATAAGAAATGTTGAGAGCTTTTGATTTCATTCTGGTGCCAACAGGACGATCTTCAAGCACGACTTCTGTACTTTTTCGATGTTAAAATGAAATAAAACACTTAAGTTTGGTATGAATAGCTTCTGTTTCTATCTTATGCAGATAATTTTATGCCATTTATGATTTACACGAAATGTCGGCCAAATGGCCACCACAGCTTCGTTTGCTTATGTCCAGTCAATTTACGATGAACCGGCGTTTCGGCTATACTGAACTGAATGTTGTCTCCATACTCCTCGAGTATTGCTGGTTGATTGGCGTAAAGCTTTAATTTAATATACTCCCAGAGAAAATAATGTACAGGCGTTAAATCGCGGCCATTTGACTGGGCCTTTTCTCGAAATTAATGATCCGCCAAACTGTGCACGCAATGTGGGCATGTTTAGACGTGA